CATGGCAACTATCATTATGCATTACAGTCGTAAACAGAGGCCATACAGAAATACAGCACAAAAAGCAGTATGAAAGAATTATTACACAAGGCCTTTCCGACTTCACCCGTCCTCCCCTCTCCACCAAGATATGTCAGAAAAACAAGTGTTACAAGAATGTATGAGAAGATCAGTGACAAAGTCTTCACTTGCATTGTAAAATGATAGTCTGCCCGAGGACACTCCATCCCAAACCCCATCCAAAGGTGATTCTAATCATGGGAGAGCTGAGAAACAGCTGGATTTCCATTTGTATAAGCAACACCTATATATATATATATATATATATATATATATACTATTCACATTGAGGTAGGGCAAACTCCTTGACATTTTGATGTTTTCTGCGTCAACCAGGCATAACTACATGGCCTAGGTAAGTATGGATGTCAATCTGGGTTAATAATGTTCTCTTCTATTAAACATAATGACAGAAAGAGTAACTGTCAAGGCCTTACCCATGAAACTAGTAATACTAGATCACTTCATTCAATGTCCTCCACAGATAACAAATACACTGTGTGTCAGATGACTGAAAGCAAGCACTATGAACTTTCTAAAGACTGTTATTCTTTCTACTCCATTCATTGGATGTAAATACACTTTACCTCTGGAATTGGAATGTAGAGATATTACATTTTTAGGGTCTCTCGAAAACACATAACAAATTATTTGTCAATTAGCACAAAAGATATCTTTTAAAAGCCTGAGGCCTTGTTGTTTCTGGTAAGGCCTGGGTGGCTCTATTGCAAATGGTCCGCAATGCAAATGTTGTGTAGCTTAGGAAACCTAGTTACCCCGTACTACCTGAAAAGCAAAGGGATTTTTCTTTCTGCTTCAACATAAAGGTTAAAAGTACAGACTCAGTACACATCAAGTCTGGGAGCCTAACTCAGTGGTCCGTTCTCTCTGAAGGTAGATAGAATATGTTTCCATCTCCAGTCTGTTCACTGTAACTGAATTGTGATAGACATTCTGTGCATGAAACGAAAAGTTGTACGTCGATACACAAGTGTGCGTGTGTGTTGGGTTGGAGAGAGAGCGATGCGAGGGTGCTGTACCGTTTTTGTTGCAGGACATAGTTGTTGCGTGGTCGTGTGAGTGGTTGTTGTTAACAGTATTAGCCTCTCTTAATGCGTAATTCCTTTGGATTATGTGGCCACAGCACTAGTTTAAAGAACACTGTTGAGGAATTAAGGTATTATTCAACAATTAATTTTTAACACAGATGGTAATTGATTAAATACAGCACATTTCTTGAAATCTGCATCCCTCCTTGACATGGAGAACTGTGGCAGGAGTTGGTTTGTGGTCTGTACCACTGACAGATACTGTTGCTCTCAGGTGCATCCCTCCTCTGCTGTAACAACTAAGAGCATCATCATGGTAATTGGTAAATGGACTGTACTTGTATTGCACTTTTCTAGTCTTCAACCACTCAAAGCACTTACAAACGGCATCCCATTCACACTGATGGCAGGGGCTACCATGCAAGGGGCCACCTGCAAATCAGGACTATCTAATCATTCATATCCATTCATACACCGCAGAAACAGCCTGCAATTTGGGGTTAAGTGTCTTTCCCAAGGACACATCGACACGGACTAGAGGAGCCGGAGATCGAACCACCGATCCTCTGATTGAAGGACGACCCTGCTCTACCACTGAGCCACAGCCGCCCACAAATCGCCAGTATTTTATTGGTGTATCAGCACCCAGCTTCGCCCATTCTGAGGATCTCGTGGCTGCTCTTCAGTTTCAAGTATGAGCTTGCAGCATCCAGATGGTTGGGTGATTCAAGGTCAGGGAAAAGGAACGGATAGAAATCCACGGGAGTATAATTGGAGACGTGTCTCCTTGTCTGCGAGAATATGCTTTGTCTATTGTTTGATTAAAACCATGGCCTGATGCTTCTCAGCGTCAATTAAGAGTTAATGAGATATCATCATGAATTATACAGTGTGAAAAATGCTCAATGTTAATTATGACTGCATGAAAGAGAATACCATCAAGTTGAACTGTTTTTTTTTTTGTGAAGATCATGTCAATTATTTTTTATAAAATGCGCCAGTTCTCAATGTCAAAAGAAAAATCTGAACGGATCCTAAATGAAAGCCTGTCCTTGATGCAGCGTATTCTCTTTGTGACTCTACATGAGGTATCCGATACAGCTACTTCATCTCATTTTTAATTATATGTCACTCTAATGCAGACTCATGGCGCTGCTGCTAATTGTTTGTGGAAACTCGCAGTGAAGGAAATTGATTTAATCATTAAAGAAAACAAAAGTCTCAACGCCGACGGATAGTTTAGATGAACTTTGTAATGAAACTTAGCCAGGACATATTTCAACATACTCTGCCCTTAATCAATATCTATCAGCAATCTGAAATGAAATCGAGATTGAATCCAGTTCCATCGTCAGCTCTAATGCCCATTGAAATCCATCTACTCACAATCCTAAAACCGAAGGAGGGAGGATTTCCTAGTTCATTTGACTGGAGGTGAGCTGGTCCAATCCAGAGAAGAACAACTATAGGGGTTTTAGAGGTGGGTGTCATGGCCTGTAGTTATAGACCCAAATGCAGACACAGACTAGGGAAGTAGATTTAAGTGAAGAGGTTTATTTTCAGGGATAATGGCTGGTGATAAAGAGCACCGAAGACCATACCGCATTGTGTCGCGATATTTGTATCGATACAAGGCCGACAAGTATCCATCTCTTATTATATAAACTATATAAAATTAGTATTTTTCTGATGTATAGTTAAAGCCAGCGGGATTGGCAGGAAGTTGGTTTAAAGAAAGACGGAGTCATTGGAGAAAGAAATCTAAAATGTGCCGTTCAAAAGGGAAGAAAGGGAAGAAGGACATGGATGTGACACTTGCGATTTGCAAGGAGTGTCGTATAAAAATAAAATACTCTGGGAATGCTACGAATGGGAGGGTTCACCTCATACGCCAACATCCAGAAATAGCCTTAAACATTGACGGCCAGACCAACGTTAAATCAGCTCAACCGAAAATAAACTGGCGAACTTAGCTTGAAAAAGCATCCTTCCGATTCTGAGCAAGCTCAGACAATAATCAATCTAGCTTCACAACGAGCATTGAATCTGCAACAACAAAAGCACGGTGGCCATCCACTCTTTGGAGAAAAAAAGAGAAAATGTTCCAGATTCCGAGCTACAAGCTCAAGATAGATGTCAGCACAAGACGGAACGGTGCTGAAACGCATTCGTGCAGCGCAGTTTTCTCCGGAAGTGAGATTTGAATGAGATGGACATCAGGTACGGCGAAGATATTGTCCTGGCCTTGAAGTCGATGTCCAGTTGACTGTCTGAGGAAAAGAGGCCCGCTTCGTCACTTGTAGCGCCGCTGCTCGCACAGCTGTTGTACTCGACACAGGACAGCGTTGGTCAGAGACAAAAATCAAGCATCAATCAAGATCTTCAGAAGAGATATGCCAGTAGTAGTTCACATCCTCATGGAAGCCAGGTTTTATACCCTGCCGTTCCTGTGCCCAGAGGAGAGACAAGGGGCTGCTGAGGCTGTGACCCTTCAGGTAAACAAGCATTTTAATATTAATGGTGTAATGTATTCTAACCCACTTCAAAATGAATATTAATAGTGTAGTCATAGTGGTAACGAAAGTACATTTAGAGTACTCAAGTACAATTTTGAGGTACATGAAGTGTACTTTACTTGTCTACTACATTTCGCAGGAAAGTGTTGTACATTTATTTGACAATTTTTGTTACTTTACTTTGCAAATTGAGATTATCAACACAACATACAAATCAACACATTAAAGCATCACTCAAGTCCAGATGACTCTGAAATGGGTCGTTCTGCATGGTGAAAACTTTTACCATTGATATTTTGATGCCAGTACTTTTTTAATTTATGCAAGTAACGTTTTGAATGCAGGACTTTCATTCTACACTGTGATATCGCTACTTTTATTTAAGTACAATATCTGACTGCTGTCATCCTTTACCAAAGAGAAACAACATATTTGCTGCATATTAAATATATATTTAACATATCCCCCCTCTCTCTCTCTCTCTTATTGTGTGTGTTTGTATTCTACAGGAAGAAGTGATGCAGCACACCATCTCCAAGCCAGAAACCCAGGAACATCAGGAGGAACCTGGCTACACTGAAGAGGATCCCGGACCCCCCCCATCATACCCGCCAAGATGAGGAAGTCATGTTGGCTAGCAGACATGCTTGGCCAGACTTACGGTGATGTTGAAGCCCCACTAAAATAATGTACTGCCATAGCTGAGGAGGAGGTGAAAATACACCACTGGCACTCACAGAAGACCCACTGAGCTGGTGAAAAACACATGAGCAAGTCGGTCCTTTCCTGGCCAGGCTGGCCAAAAGATACCTTTGCATTCCAGGTACTAGCATCTCAGCAGAAAGAATCTTCTCCTCAGCTGGAGACATAGACACAGCACAAAAGAGAAGTTTGACCTTGTAGCATGTTGATCGGCTCCTCTTCCTGAGCTGGAATGCCATCATTCCTTCACGGTCCAAATGTCTGTCAACTTTTTTAGTCCCAGAGTCCATGTTTTATTTTATTTTATTTCAATTTAATTTACTGTCAAATTGCCCAGTTACTGAAGTGGCTGCATACTTCAAAATGCCTGTAATAGTACAGTGGTCCACACATGTTTTCATTCAGTTGGGCTATGTAGAGTGTAATACCAACACTTCAGTTTGTCAGGTGCATGTTGCAACATTTGACAGGTTTTTATTTTGGTCAGTCTGTCTGCTTGGTTAAGAATCCCATTTAGCTGCTATAAAAATGACTGAAGTCAGATCATCAGTCATCTATAAATTGAATACCCACACCCCAAAAAAAAAAAAGAAAAACCCACACAACACTGTTCCAGCACTGATCTTGTTTGACACCTTTGGTTATTAATACAGTCCCACTGACAGGAACTTACCTTGAACGATGAGATGCACTTTTGTGGACTTTGGCTTCTTGTTCGTGAGGATGGAGCAGACGTAGGGCCCTTCGTCGTGGACGTCAACATTTTGGATCTTGATGCTGTACTCTGTGACTGCTGTGTTTTCCATCAGGATGACGCGGGGGTCCAGAGACCACTTCTCACTTCCTGCAAAGAGGATGGTGGTGCGATTGAGCCACGCCACTCGCGATACTTTGCTGTCCACGTTGCATCTGGTAGGAACAAAGACGGAGAATACAAAAACACGTTGGAGATTTAGGCTTTCAGCACAATGCTTTTAGCGATGTCAAAAATAACCCTAGCATTGAGAATGAACCAAAACATTAAAGTATGCATCCGGAGAGCTAAACAGTGAGCCGGAGCTCATTATAAAGCTCAGTAAAGCCAAGAAGAGCTACATATTCAGCAGAACGTTCTCTGTAGGTTCATCACTACCAGAGACCCTTTTCACATTCTGTTAATACATCGTTATCATAGAAATATTGGTTATAGCTGCTTTCAAAAATTTGGTTAGATTGTCAAACCTTATTTTGAATATCACATTTTTTTTTAATTTGTTGCCTTGATATTTGGAGTTTTCTTCTCTTTTTTTTCTTTGCATTGTAAATGTAAAAGTGAGTTTTAGAAGTGAGACATTACACTTTAATGGAATACTCTAGAACAGCGGTTCCCAAAGTTTTTAGGCCACGCACCCCCTTCTACATCCCAACCGGGTTCACGCACCCCCAATCCCCCACACCTTAAAAGAAAAAAAATCAACAGAGCCTATTTATAGCCGCATAACAATCGGACCAATGAGAGAACAGTTTGCTCGCGCGTGGCGTTTGTTTACAAGATTTAGTCTGCTGTTAAATGTTGCAGTGTGAACACAAACCGAACAAAGGGGCAACTGCAACATTGTATCATATTAATCCCTGAATCGGAACAAAGCAAACGAACTACGGGTGTGAAAACGCCCTGAAACACTGCAACAAAGTTTCAATACATTTCAGTTACACAAGGCGTCACTTTTAAAGAGCAATAAGGATGGCGAGGACACACGCACAGGCTCAGAGGCAGATTGCATCACATTTAATTTACAATTAACCATACATAGCGGTTACATTAATCTGAATCGAATTACAATAAAGTTACACTCTCCAATCATACATTCCACCATCTCTTTGGCAGCTGGTAACGTCTTCGGCGATTGTGTGCGGTAGCCCCTTTCTTGCTATTCTGTGACCAGATATGAAGCCCGCAGTGCGTGTTTTGTAGACCCAACACATGAATGAGACTGCAGTTGTTTTGGGCTGTTTTGTAACTCCTCCGATTTCGATATAAAAAATGTAAGGGGCTTTTGACTTGCACTGGCATGCTTGGTGTTCAGGTGGCGACGTAAATAAGATGGCTTCAGACAGCTGTTAGCCAGAAACTCACTGCACACCACGCACTGTGGCTTTGGGCAATCTGCATTGCCAATCCAAGTGAAGCCCAGACCAGATCATTTTCATCATATTTCCTCTTTTTTTTCCCAGTCTGATGCTCACTCTCGTTTCCTCTTCTTTCACCTTGACTCCGCGATGGGCCTATGTGCTCCCCATTTGTCTGTGCTATCCCTTCCTCCTTTTCGGTCTCCTCCATCTCATCTTTCTCTGACTCCTGCTCGATTTCTTCTCCCGGTCTCTCCCCAACGCACCTCTCTGTTCCTCTCGCCTCTGATTCCTCTCTCTCTGTCCCTCTCCTCTTTTATGACTGATAGCTTCAGATGTCCCACCTGACAGTTTCCCAAATTTCAGCCAGTTTAGCATATTTGCATGAACGTTGCTGAATGAATGAAGTTAGCTGTTAGCTGCACAAGCTAGGCTACGTGTAGTGTGTATGTAAAAGACAGTCTGGCGGCAGGAGCAGAAGTGCATTTATTTATTAAATTGTAAGTTTTTAAATTTAAATGTTACAAAGGGAATTTTTATAATTCATGTTTTTGTGAAAAAATCCCACTTAAATTTTTTAAAATTATATTTAATATCAATTATTACACCATTAGACCACCATTACATTTTTCCTCTCGCGCACCCCCTGGAGGCAGCTGGGGGTGCGCGCACCACACTTTGGGAATCCCTGCTCTAGAAGAACATGGAGGTCATGTAGCAATTTCAAAATAAAACCAAATGGTGGTGGGGAGGAAAGCCTTGAAAAGTTGTAATCATACGATTTCATCACTGACTTGTTTATGACACATGCCTCTTCCTTTAGATCACATCAGACATGAGAGGTCGCTTTCATGACTAATGCATGTACAAGCACTGCACATAATTTAACATCAGAATGCGACACACAGTACCAGTAATCTGTCTGACAGATAATGTGTATACTGACATTTCCTTCCATCTCTGATACCAAAAAGATTAAGCGGTTAAAACAAGTCAAAAAATAAAAAAACATTGCACCATGATGTGCTACTGTGCTTCATGTTCCATCAAAAGGACACACAACGGCACACATGCATGCCACAAACTCATCATACTCACACCTGCTAAATTAACAAACAGTATTTTAACACTTCAGTGACATTTCTAGGTGGAAGTTGGCGGGAGGACGACCACTACACACTGATTTACTTCACAGATTTGTACAATTTGACATAATGCACTATTTTACTATTTTCCACACAGTTGATCAGGTGATAATCCAGCTGAGCACATAGCCTACCGCTCAATTCCCAGTTTGTATGTGCTGACGGTTTGGTTAGCTATGTTTGCCCAATTGTACCATGTTGTCGTGCTGCTTTCATGTTTGCTAATCCTCCCGGAAAAATGCTCCTGTTCTTGAGCAGGTACCGTCCCCTCTGCAGTTCGACATCTTTCCTGGAGAACCACTCCATGTTAAACCTGGGATTCTTTTTTTTTACAAGTGGTGTAGTTTCAAAAAATAACCCAGGGCTGGTGGGCACTAAGATGTTTGATCGCAAATTCAGATTTTCACATACAGTATGTGCTGTAGGAGGTAATCCACATCATCCATGGTGACCACAGTTACTACCGTCTGTAAAATATATACTAACCGTTGCCAACTACAAGCAAATGACAACAACAGTATCTGTCAAAGTCAAATTGCAGCGGGGCATCAGGGAATCAGCTCCATTTGGAATAAAATGTTTGCTATCCACTTTTATTGCCAAAGGCCTTGGACATGCATATACATGATTTAGGGCACCTGGTATTGTGAGCGTGCGGCTATCCCCTCATATCAGCTTCTGCAGCCAAATGCATTTCAAACACTATTTGAAGACTATTCTATCCAGCCACTGACATGAAATTGTAGAATAATGATGAATAACAGCAGCTTTGCCCCACTCGCCTCTACTCACAATGTTCCAAACTATCTTTGTATCACCAAATACTTAACTACTTCCAGAGGAGTTATGAGGAGGAGATTACAGGACATGTTAGTTAGAGCTCAAGTGTTGTTGCATTTTCTAACTATTGTACGTATATGAATTGGTCATTGGTCATGTTTCCATTCAATTGTCAAGCAAATTTGAAGCAAACTTTGGAAAAAGAAATGCAATATATGTGTGTTTCCATCAACTAGGTTGGAGCAAATAGACTCTGCTACAAAAAGCGCAGTTTTGGCAGAAAATGGCGGTCAAGACTATGTATGGCTGGAATCCACCAGTGAACAGATCAGGAGAAGATGAGTTGCGGACCGGAAAAGTCGACTTGACCATCTACGAGAGAAAAACAAAGAGGGTACTTCAGGAATTTGATTCAGTTGGGCCAAATGTAATTCTCCTCGTTAGTATTGGCCATGTTTCATGCTGTCCAAAGTCCAAGACAATATAAATAGATAACAGGGAAGATGCTTACAGGGGAAACAGCTAATCAGTCATGTATTTGCGACATCAGAATTTTGTTTTTACTTACAAAAAACACCTCCAGAAAACCTTTTTGATCAATTGAGGAAGTTTTATCGAATTTCATACAGTGTTACTTATGCCTTACTTCAAAATGTGCATACAAATGTAGCTCAAGCGCAAGTTCAGTCAGGAAGACATTCACTTGTGATCTCTGTCTCTCCTCTCCTTGTAATTACTCTATCAGCTGATTGGGGGCGTGCACTGTTAAGCAACCAACCAGATTCGGCACACAGTTTCCTTCAGCCAATCAGATCGTTGTTGTCAAACTTTAAAGTGTTCTCCTCTCTGCTGTTGTCAGTTGTCATTTCAGCGTTAAGCAGATGCGACCCGCCTCCACCCCAGTCACCTCCAGTCAGCATCACAGTCAGGCTCCTGATTCATCATCAGATTGCAGCAACTCCTTTCACCACCACCACCAGTGTCTGGACTCCAGGGGGGATTAGGCCTGTTGGACCTCAGTATCCCTACCCTCGGTGATAGTACTTCAGGATGGAGTCCAATCGCCAAAGACTTTGCACTTTTCATATTTGACGCTTGTATAATAAATCATTGTTAAATTATAAAATAAGTCTCTCCTAATTGAAATATGTTTATGGAATCATGGCTGTTGTGCTATTTGGGTGGGCCTAAAATGATTTCTGTATGCCCACTGTACACCTCAGTTACCACATTAATACTTCTGATCTGATTCATTCCGCCAGATTAAAACAGTGACATCGACATTACCTGTATTAGGCCAAATTCAAGTTAATGTATTTTCTGCAGGGGAACAGGAGAATGTAACATTTAGATAAAAACCAATCTAGGCTCAGAATGCACTGGGGTATTTATACTATAAAACCAAGATCTGGCAGGACATATGAAGCATCAATGAAAGAATGGAAAGTCAGCTTTCTGTGCCAACTCTTTCTCTTTCTTTTTATGAATAGTGGATGTTATAAATTTGGAATTAGTTTGCACAAACTAATGTGTGTAGTCTGTGTGTGGTGCTGAATGCAGGGACATAGTATTTGTTGTGCCTCAGTATTATGTGCTTGTACTGTAGGTGGGTTTGTTCTGCCTGACGCATGCTGCAGCCTGTTGTGTCTTTTCTTTTGCTTATATGTGTATTGGTTTTTGTCTATACGTTACTTTATCTATGAATTTTAATTCCATTTTAATTTGAAATTTGAGGCTGCCTTCAAACATCTGGCTGGGGACAGGAGATGAAAAGTAGCCTCTCTGGCTAACTCTGGCTCACTCACAATTTGACTGTTGATTGGTGTGCATTGTCCCTGCAAAATAAACAAATACATACAAATAAACAATTAAATG